CTGCACTTTTAGAGAAAATTAATTGTTAACAAAAATAAATACCTAAAAAAATTAATAATTAAGAGACTCGTAGTTTTACATTGGGATAAAAATTCCAAAACATTTATAGAAAAACTTGGTAACATTCCCAAAACAAACGATTTTTTCTTGTAATCTTAAAAAAGGGCGAAAATACATTTTAGAAGAAAACTGATTTTTTGGATAATTAAAAATGATTATGTTTTTTTTATAAAAATACATCAATATTTATTTTTGTTATTATTTAAAATAAGTCTGCTACATATCTTTATACGGTAAAATATAAAGAAATAAATTAAAACGGATTACCTAGAACGAATTTGATATACCTAAAACACATCTATTTCATTGTTGTTATTTTTACAGTTCTTAAAATTTCTAAAATTTTTACTATTTTTTTTTTTTTTTTACATTTTTCCAACTGAAAATGTACGTTTTTTTTCTTAGTTTTTTTAGAAAACACATTTTTTCAAGATATGTTTGTCCCTAATTTTATCGTTAGAGAACATAAGTTTATTAAAAATATGTATTAATGTGTGGCACAGTGAATTTTCTAAAATATTTTCGTAAAATTGACTTTTAGGGTAATTATAATATATTTTTGTTTCTAATTAGGTACATCGATTGATTGCTATTTAATAGCTCAGCTTATTGCTTAATGAATATTGAAATCATTACACGGGTACAAAATAAAAAAGTATACAACACGCATTGCATCATAGTCCACGATTGTTATAATAATTGCACAATTGGCACGCCAACGTTAAGTTATTATTAAAACGATGATTATTATATATATTTAGCGCTCGTCAAATAGAATATTATTATTATTTTTATTTCAACGTTATTTCAAGCCGAACGCTGCCGAGATGTGATCGTTTGAGTGTGCTACGTAGACAATAGTACACAAAGCGATTTTACAATCGATCGCACTATTAGTATCTATTTTGTTGTTGAATTCATTAATTCGTGCGAGTTAATGACGTGAAGTTAAACAGGACAGACAAACGAGACTATAGCGAGCATAAGTGCTAGTAATTTCCTGCAATACTATTTACAACTATCTTTACTATAAACAAACTATTTAGTCCAAGTAGATCAATAAATCGTTCAGGCCTGATATCATTTTTATAATTTAATTCACGAATCTTTTAAATTTTGATTATGAGCAAGATTTAAAGAATAGATAAGTCGTTCAGTATTTAAGTATTTTACCTTATTATGCCTCTAAAAAAAAAGGTTGTGTACAAGGTCCCTGTTCCTTAAAACGTTTATTTAAATAAAAATGCTCAAAAACTGACTTATTTCATCTTCTTGCACGGGGCGGTTCAATTCTTCCAAAGTCGGCCACGAAGTGTTCTATTGTGGCCTATTATAATACTCTAATTTGAAAGCCAAAGTTTTTTTTTTTTAAATGATTATGCTTAATTTGAAAATGATTAAAAGCAAGTACAATTAATGTCAACTGGCTGCTGCAGTGTACTCTGTATCGAATGTGTCTCGTCAGCATTTGCAAAATTTACGGCTGTTGATTTATTACTACATTGTCGGCAAGGTGAATAACAGTAACGTTAAAATGCTATTAATTATCGCTGACGTTTATTATTATTATTTATTGCGTGCGTGCAACGCAGAAGCGTGTTTCCGGAACGATTTTTCTGCCCGGAGTTTGTCACTAACAGGTCTTGACGGCCACTATAAGAGAATTAGGGTGGTTTGCTTGCAACCAGTTATTTAGTGATTATAACGAGAGAGACGATAAAGAATAGCGCCACTGCTGTCACACGCAATGCCCGAGAAATATTATGTGTTTGAGCAGTGATTGTACATTATGTTCATCGGTGGAGGCACGTGACGTCGCTAATTGTTGGGCGTGGTTGTCACAGACGCCGTCGTTTTGTAATTTTGTTGCACCCCCCCCTCCCCACGCACACATCTGAACAGAGTGTATACACGCTGGCCTCAGAACACCTCAGTGTCGTTGCGTTAATTTACTTAACACTAACGACTTGAACGAATACAGTTAAGGCTTAATCAAATTATACCAATCGTCCAATATTTAGCAGCGGGGGGGAGAGAATGTATATATAAAATAACCGCAACGATTGCGAAAAACTTGTCTAAGTATGAAAACTTATCGCCGAGCCCGATACGGTGTACCTACCTACTGTTATTAAAGTTTATTTTAACAAGCTGTTTTCAATAATTTAAAAACCGTGCCTGACGCATCCGTCGTTATAATTTTATATTATAATGAGCACATCGGTGTTAGTTGTAGACATATTTTGGCGAATCTGCAAAATATTCATATTGTGCTTGTTCGGGAAAATAATTTGTTTTTAAATAATAGAAATAATAATGTATACAGGGTGATCGTTTTATCGTGAACCACTCAATAAGGTTTAATAAGAATTATTTTTTTTTTCCATAATGTTTTTATACAATGTGATCTTAATTTTTTTTGTACTTACAGTTAGGTTTCAAAAGCTGCTATAAAAAAAATTAAGTTGGGTTAAAACAAAAAAATTATGGGAAATTGAGAACTCATAGTATAAAAACATTATCAAAAAAATTGAATTTCATATTAAACCTTATGAGATACTGAGTGTTTCACTATAAAATGATCACTCTGTATATTATGTATATTTTTTATGTAAGAAGACTAGTTTCAGCATTCATTTTTCACGCGTTCAAATTTAGGGTTTCCTTAACCCTATTTAGGGTTACCTTTAAATAAAATATTATTTGAAAGTATAAAAAATAGAGGAGTTAAATAACAGTGACTAGTCAACAACCAGCTTTAAGTGAATTTGAATTACAAGTTTGTAATCACACAATAATTTCTTCATAACAATTAAATATCAATGTACGTATAATAAAAAAACGTAGTAAGAGTATAAAACCCACGAAAACTACCATTTAAAATATTATATTTAGTTTGAACTAAAAGTTGTATATGGTCATTTAATTTAATTGGTATCAAAAATAATTTATTTTTTCATAAGAAAACGTTTTATTGTACTATAACTAGTACAATAATTACTTTCAATTATTTAAAATATTTCTCATATAGCTCATAAAAAATACTAAAATATATATTTGTTTAAGGGGTTTAGGGTCTTTTTTTTGTGAAATTTGTGTAACAATATTTTCTTATTCGAATAAAAGCCTACTATGTTGTATTTTTTGTTAATAAAACGTTAATAACTGGTCATTAACTTAAACATTTTTAAACCCTATTATAATATAATGTTATTTTTTAATAACTTATCATGCTGTTTACATTGCGTTGAAGGGGGTAAAATGGGTAATATTTATTTTTATAAAAAGGAGCTGTCACGTCATTTCACTTTTCATGTTATTAACTTTAAACGTCGATTAAAATTAAAATGCGGTATAGGTCTTAAATTGAATACTTTGTATGTGTAATGCAAATATTACAAGCTGACCAGAATTATTTTAAATTCAATTTTCCAATAACGATAAATTTAATCAATTATTGTACTATTAAGTTTGGCTACAAAAATAGCTCCGAATTTTGGTGTTTTAGCTTCGCTGCAAACTTAAGAAGATATTATTATTAAATTAATTCAAAAAGTTTTTTTCAAAAAAAAAAAATGTAAAAAATTATACGAATATAAGATAAAGATTTTGTCTTTATTTGAAATCCGTCACGTACGATTTTATAGAGAATGCAGAAATGTTCGTTTAGACAAATTTCCCGCAATATAAAATCAATCCTTCTGTGCAGTACTGTACATATATATTTAACCGTCAAGTGTATTGAATTCAGACGTTCTCTTCAATAGTATTGGTATTATACCATTTACATTATGCGGGTCTTTGAAAACAAAACGCCTTTTTCTTGAACCAAAGAGAAGAGCAAGCAAAAAAAAAGTCCCTAAATCTCTTCATTCAGTGTTTTTACACATGTACCTACCTATATTATTATATAATATCTCCGGATATAGGATATTGGGTATAGGTAAACGATTTGTGTTAGATAATAGAACGCATACTCGCAAATATAAATGTATACATGCCCACAATTTGGATAATATTTATGTGTGTGTGTAGAAACTGAAGAAATACGATAACTGTCAGGTCGAATTACCGACGGAGTCCTTTGCGAGTCTAAACACACGCCGTCGTAAACGGTAACTCGATACGGGTGCGTACAATTTGCACAGAAATTCACCATTTGCCCAATAAAAGAATAATGGCCGTGCAGGAAGGTATACGATTGATTGGGCGCGGATGTATCATGGGAAAATCTTAAATAATAGAAGTCAATCAGTTTTTTCTTTACGGTTATATTTTTTATTTTTGTAATCCTCTGAAATCCGAGTCCCTTGGACTTATATAATGCGTGTGTCGTCGACGATGCAATTCTGTTAATGCGGTTATTCCGTTAACGTTCTGGTATAGGTATATCCACATAAACGCCAACAAAAGCGCAGGTGCTATCCGTGAAGATACGTTAATCTGATATAATATGTAATAATAATATCATCATTACAGGCTGATACTGAGCAACGGGTTTATAGGCCATTAAATGCCTTAAATATATTTTTTAACGCCAACATAATGAAGTATTACGGTAATCAATTGGGTCTTGGTCAATTGTATGAATTAATCAATCACTTATAATGACTATCTATCACTTAAAATGTAGTAAATACTATTGTAATTACATTAAAAATAACAACAGTTTTGGGTTGAGTTTCGAATAGCCTTAGGGAGGCTTAACTATGAAAATGCTTGCAGTTAGCATACGAGCAAATTGATTTTTTTTAGTTATTAAATATTTAAGATGATTTTTTTAGACTCCCCTAATCTTTTCCTAAGACAATAGTTTAAACAACGTGATAATTATGGAAATGGAACTTTTTCTATACCAGTGATGTGTTATTTTACTGATTCCATTAACAGGTTAAAATGTATTTGTAATTTTTAACTAATCCTTTTGTTAAATTTTACAGGATTCTCGCAACTACAGAAGAATCCAGCGTTCAGTCCAAACGGCTGCATGTCAGGTAAATGCAAACACCTATACGATTATTTTTTTTTTTTGTACCCACATTTTTCCAAAAACGTATTTATTAATACTCCATAGGCTAGTGTAGGTACTATACGTTTTCTATACCTAGGGTTGAGAATTCTATATAATAACTACAACTATGCTTCGGTTATGGTGGTTCTTTAAAATAATATACATATTGGTGCGTTTTAAATAAGGTAAATAATAATTATCATTATTCTACCATCAAACCCGCGTGTATGACGAAATAACACAATTGTGTTGTTAACCTCTTGTCACGAGCAAAGGTACATTCGTTGAAAATACCGGTTTGTCTTCAATAGCTCTTCAACGGCCCCACTAGTGTGCGTCTATTGAGACACCAATTCAATAGCTCGCAGCTCTCCAGATTAGGATGAGATATAATAATAATAATAATAATAATAATAATTATGATTATTATTATTATATTTAATTCGATCGTACCGAACGGCGTCGTTGCTGCTGTACGCTGACTAGCATATTAATATTATAATATATCCATTGCTCTCTAGTCGCGTCGGTCCAGTCAATTCAAACAAACGGTTAAAAAAAATGTTTAATAAAATAATCCAACGCACTTGTAGAAATCAAATTAAATAAAACACGAATACGTGTTCGCGACGAGTCCGAGATAGTGGCGCCATTCAAAATCTTCCTGAGAGTCTGATCGATATTCTTTTGTAATACAACTTAGTTTGTTCATAACTTCTTCTACAGAGCCGCTTATAGTACTAACTGGTATTCTTCTAAACGCTAAATAGACCGTATTTTTTTTAGTCATCGAATATATATGTCCTTAAGTTATATGTTATCGTGTTTAGAATTGTTTAGTGATACTTTTAAGGTACTTAATAATATCAAGAGAATAATTACTTTTACAACATTTTTCGGACATTTAAAAATAAAATATATTTATACTCATTATTAGAAAACATAAAATATTACTGATTCTGCTTACATGCATAGGTATATGTAATTTGTGTATTTTGTATATTGTATAAAATTAATTAAATCATAACGACTTTGTTAATTTTTTTTTACATTAATGTAATGTTGAGAAGGTTAGTTTACGATTACTTAAAAAACTATAGTTATAACTTATAACTAAATAAAATACTATATTTTTTATTAAATTAAGTAAATTACTTTACATTTAACAAAATTAGATATAAAATACATCGTATAATTTACAGAGGCATTATATAATGTCCTGTTCTTTATTTTCAATTCCAACGTATTAATATTTAGGGATGGTGGTTGAAGAAGATAACCACTTATTAATATATGTTTATTATTGGCGTTAGTTAGTAGTGATGTTCTAATTTTTATCTTTTTTTTTATAATCTAATCGTTTAGAATCAATAAAGTACCTTTTAAGTCAATTTGTTATCAATAGAATTGCTATTTTAGGGATTCTTTTCAGCGGTATGGATAATAAAATAAAAACATCATTGTAAAAACATTGACTCTTCAACTACTCATCAAAGCTAAAAACTATTTAATACACACATTAGCTAGGTGTTTTTTTTTAATTATAAAAAACAACAATGTAATATGTACTAAGACTCACAATATTGTTGGACGCATGCATAATGTATTAAAAACAACAAAAAATTGTATATTGGGTTGCATTTTGTTTAAATAGGCGAAGTAAAATATGTATTACCTATATGTTTGCCTTAATAGTATGCATATTGCATAATACGCAACATAACTTATAAAAAAAACATATTCTTATCGATTATGACGTTTGTGTCTCCTATTCGATTGTAAATCACGAATAGTATTAATTTTATGTACATAAATGTTTTCCATACTATCAATGTAATAATTAAAAGAATTATTAGGTGTGACTACCACACTCGAAAACGATGTTATGGTAAACGTGTGTTTAAATTAATTCACACCTGCGTTTGTGTAGGGACCTTTTCTCGGAGTTCTACAATAATATGGGTTAAAATGGTTTGCTTGTAATATTGTGTGCTTTTGTTTCGGGACCGTTTTCACACACAAACAGACGTTTGGAACGGTGAGAAAACATTTTGGGATGAGATACGCGGGTAACCGTATATATAGTGGGCATATAATGACAACAAATAATGCTCGAAGGTCGTCTCTGTAAGCATCGGCAGCAGCCGGTCGGTGACGCCGTGGCTGAGACGGTGTGATATTATTATTATTATTTTGTAAAACGACTTTGTCACCACCGCGAGGCGCTATTCAACGACCGTCGCTATAAGAAGAAGTCTATATGGACGCATACGGAGTGCGGGTTTTCTGTGCGGACCAACACCAAGACCCGACGGTTGCGGTGCAAAGAAAACAATAACAAAACCGGGAGCGAAAAAAAATAAGAAAAGAAAAATAATAATAAAAACAACCGAAAATTACTCTAAAAACAGAAGCCATATGTCAGTGCTACGTCGACGGCGGTGAAGACGGTGGAGACCGTGGGCGGCGGCGTTCGTCGTATGGCGCCACCGTCACCTGTTGACCTTTGTAGAGCAGCACATAGTCACGTCTTCAATAAACGCCACAACCACCACCACCACCGCCGCCGTCTCTTGTGCGCCATAGAAACAAACACTAGTAAAGTGTAGATGAGATTCGCTCTTTAGAAGAGACGGCAGCCGCAGGATGTTCTCATGTTCGTCGCGCGCGCCTTCTCAAAAGAATAATAACACACGAGTACATCATGTGCGCAACACGTTAACATATTATTCGAATCACGGCCATTCTTCACACGTCGTATCGGGTACCTTGTATTTACATAGGTACAACCAAACCGACGGCTACTATAATATATGTAGGTATATACAACGACGACAACGACCGCACAAGTCCTATGTCTAACACACGCTAAGCTGTGCCAACCAACGTTATGGGAACAGCGACTACATAATATAATATAACATTGCACGTCCCGTACACCCACCCAAAGGAACCCATAGACTATATTCTATAACTATTCTACAACATAATAGTTAATAGTAATAATCTATGTAACATAAATGACAAAACGTAGCGTTCCCCTCACCCCCTCCCATTTGAAAAAGGTCAAGTGCAAAATAAAAATAAAAGTGTAAAATAATGTGTACAAATACGCTTAAAACGTGCAAATACAATATGCGTCAGAGCAAAGAAAGATATATTATACTGATAGAATAAAAAAGCTAAAACAAATTTTAAATAGGTAAACCCGAATTTTCAACAGGTGCTGATTTTAAAAAATCCCCCCAAAAAAGTGACAAGCTTAGGGAAAAAAGTGAAAACTACTTGCAATTTTTTTTTAATTTATTGAACTTTAATTGTAACATACAATCTGTAAGCAATTTTTACAAATAAGCATTTTTTTTTAACAATTTATAATTACAACACATGAATTACACGAGGAGCGGAAACCCTTCATTAAGAACACCTCATTTTAAAAATTTGAGACCATTTTTATACTCTTTTTTTACTAAGGTTTTAGCCAAAGGTAATTACATTCTCGCGGTCACCGTATAGTTAAATCACAATAAAATGAGTGTAATAGTTCATCTAAATCGTGAACGACTTTTTTGGTAAAATATGAAGATTTTCGTTTTAAATCAAGAGTAGAGGTATATTTTTAATCTCTTAAAATGTGAAAACAATTAGTTATCGATGTTGAAAAATACACACACAGTGCAAACATGGTAAAATTCTATAGTAATTTTAATCCAAGAAATAAGACGTGTAATGATCAGTAATTATAAGAGAGTAACCGGCGATATTATACAAAAGTAACATAAATTACTAATAAATACTACTAAAAACGAATATATTTTAAAATTAAAGTACGTCGATTAATTATTGTCAGTAAAATTGTACAATACCGTTTAAAAGACTTGGAAACCTTGACAGTTTTTACGAGTAAGTACACAGCTCGTTGGTTTGTTTACACATTTTAAACTGTTTTCAAGATAAAACTCTCTCGAAAAAAGAACTAACAGTTGTATCAACATCGTCGGGTTTAGCACTTAAATTATATTCATATTGCGGTTAAGTAGAAAACACTAATTTTCTGTACTCATTACAAGACCATAATGCTTCTAGTAGTTTGAATTAAACTATTAAAAGTAGACGCTTTCTTATAAATTGAAGACCTTATTCGTGGCGTATTGTATTACAATAAGACTGTAAAGAAAAATAAATCAATTATCATACTTAGGATGTATCATGAGTTGCGTTTAAATTGCTTAAAAGTAGTATAAGGCATTTTTAAACAGTCTAAAAGCTAAATACCTCAGAGATGTTATGAATTTTCAGAAACTAGAATTATTGTATTATAGACCCAATTTTTAAACGATGTCGATTTAAAACCGAATCAACATTTTTGTGACATGTTAAACGATTAGGAACATAAAGTACTGATTTTGGTACTGATTAGGTACTGATTTTGATCTTTGATAATAATTTATAATAAGTTTTAAATACAATAAAAATCCTATACATTTTATTTCCAAAGTGGTAACAAAAGGCCAACTTATTTAGAATCAAACGTTTTCTAGGCTTTATATTGACGACGTTGACATACAAAAAAAAAAAATACAATTTATTCGTATAGATAAAAAGCGTTTAGGTTTAGCAGCACATTTAACTACCTAGTTTGGTTTCATTCCAAACTGTGCTTAACTGTTTTTCTATTAACACACACAAGAAAAATACGTGACATATAATTTCCTGTACTATGAACAAGAAGTGTAAATATTATTTTAACAGGTGTTGAATCCATACAGGTATAAAATGAATTGACAACAACAGAAACTATCGAATTTATTATTAAAATAAGGTCTAATTTTCTGCAGTTTACTCATTTTTTTATTTCTACAAATGAGTGGACACATTACCGAGAAAGCGGTAAAAAAATGTGCTTACATAAAATACTTGTGCAATTTTCGTTTAATAATACAATATCAACTTTATAGGACGCAATAATTTAGACTCTTGTGT